AGCAGCTATATCATATTGGTTTCCCATCTATAGCTTATGTGCTGATGTTACACTTTTCAATTAAGAAACTTTCTCAATTGGTTTGGAAGTAAGGGGGCAGAAGCAGGAACGTTTTGGCTGTTATCACGTGGTTTTTCTTTTTTTTTTTTTTTTTTTTTTTAAAATCTCCTTGTTATGGAAATTTGTTTCACTGCTCTAGTTTGTTCATATTCTTTACCGGTGAATGACCCTAAAGCTGAAGTGCCCTGATTCGGGGTTTTTTTTTTTTTTTTTTTTTATATCCTTGATGTTCCGATGACTTTCTCCTTTACTATTTGATTTACATTTTGGGGCATATTTTATCTCAGTCAAGTATATTTGATGCCAAGGCTGGATGGGACTGAATGCATCTTTCATGGAGCTTGTTTCATGGTACGACAATGAGTGGGGTTACAGGTACAGTCTCTCTCTCTCTGTGCACCGACACCTAGTGGTGATTCATTTGGTCTTATTGCAGCAACCGAGTGTTGGACCTGATAGAGCACATGGCATTGTGGGCTGCCAGCAACTAAGTGGTCTGGAGGAGGAGACTGCTGTTTCATTTTGGAGCCTGCATTGATTTTAGTTTAAAGTAGTTTATAAATTTCATAGTCATTTTTGTTTAATTGGTCTTTTGTTATCATCATCATATCATTGAGCCTTTCTAGAGTTTCATAACGGGACCTAAAAAATAATGAAGATTCCACACGACTAGAACTCACTTTAGTAATACATTATATTGATTGTTTGTGCCGTGTGTTTATCTCAGGTCACCATAAGAACATGTGGGAAAGAATTTTATTTTAAAAATAAGGGTAAATTACAAATATACCATCTAAGGTTTGTTTAAGACACATTGTTTGTGATTTGGCATATATTTTTTTATTAGAATTTTTATTTAACAAAATTAACTAAAAAAAAATCATAATTATTCTCTTATACAATAATAAAATTATTTAATTATTAATTTAATATATTTTAATATCTAAAAATTGTTAATTAATTTTTATTATTTTATTAATAAAATAAACGATTTATTATGAAATTAAAAATTTTAATAGTAAAATATAATTTTCAAAATTATAAGAGGTGATTTGTATTTCAATTAATTTTAAGAATGATGTATAATTTACCTTAAAAATAATGAGTGACCCCACTTTGGAGCTTCTAAAATTGCCTCTATTTTTCTCCACATCCCCTTTGCGAAAGCATATCTCACCCCGGGTAGAAAGCAAGAGTGTAGAGAGAAAGTAGTCACGTCTAATACTGTTTTGTAAAACTTCTTTAGATAAAATTGATAATAATTAGGAGACAGAGACAGCCCAAGTGGTAAAGGCCCTCTTACCAGACACAGGTGTGGGTTTTGAGTATCATCTCCCTCTCCTAGATTAGTTATAATTTGTGTTGTAACAACTAAAACCTTCTCCAAATATATATATATATATTATACATATATTGAAATTAGAAAGCAGAGACTAAAATAAAGTATCTCATTTCTTTCTCAATAATTTTTTCAGTTTATAATTAACCCCATAAAAATTGCACCAAACAGAGCTGCATGTATCCTAGCATTTATTTCATTAAAAAATTCATATAACTAAAATCAATAATCCCATCATGAAAAAGAATACCAAGCACCACTCATATTGTCCCTCTTTTGTATTTAACAAATTTTGGTGTTGAACATAAAATAGATTAATCATGGGTAAAACAACTCAGATCTACTAAATCGGACACACTTCATCTATCATACACCACAACATCAACATTTCAGCTCCAGTCATTCAATGACTTTGAATGATGCCATCTCGTATTCAAACAAAATTCTCAATGAGATATGGCCCCAATACCTTCTCATCGTAGCTGCTGGTGGAAGGCCAAGAATTTTTTCCATTCAAGAATTTAAAAAGACATCTACATTCAGAAGATATTGTGCGGGATATTTAAATTCTTAATGACAATAGTTTTATCAGGATATAAAAATGAGAGAGAGACAACAAAGTTAACCTTGAGTCACCGACAAAGTCATTGGAGACAACCTCCTCATTTGTGTACCCGAGAATGCCTTTCAGCGACCCCTCTGAAGCATACCTATAATTGAAATATCAAGGGTGCCTTAGTTTTTTTTTGTTTTTTTTGGTATGTCAAAGGTGATTTAGTACTTACCAATATGATGTTAATTCATGCCTAGGAACCTCACATCAATCAATCATGAGAGAGAGAGAGAGAGAGAGAGAGATTGTATATGCAAGGTGGATAAGAAAACAAAAAATGGCAAACATACTTTATGGCTGCTTTAACATCTTCATAAGAAGCACTATTCTCAAGTCGACAAGTTAAGTCCACAACAGAAACATTAGGAGTTGGGACTCGGAAGGCCATTCCTGTGAGCTTTCCATTAAGTTCTGGAAAACACCTCAAAATTACAAGGAGACACCTCATGACTCAGGATAAGGTGAAGCTGGCATAGTTTGCATAAAATTAACATCCTGTCACATCCTATCTCCTCATTTTAACCATTCAGAAGATTTCACAGAAAAATAATTTGTAGACATAGGATCGAAATTTTTGAAAAGCGGTAACTGGTATTTGTCCCACCAAATCCTCAAGTCAACCGCCTTTCCAATTACAATGCTAAATATGCCCACATGTTGCGCCAGAATGGTATCCTTAAAACCTACTTCCCACCATCCTGAAGAAAAGTAAGGGAGTCCATGGTTTTCTCTAGCTGTGAAAAATCCAAAATACATGCAAGTGAATTTTCTTTCAATCTCTTGTAGACTTTTTGCCTACGTTTGGGAAGAAAATTTTGGGGCTTTTTTGGCTATTTTAGCCACAAAAGACAAAATAAGCTATTTTAGCCACAAAAAACAAAACATCACATCCAACCCATAATCATTACACTCTTCTCTCACAAAAAAAGTCAAAAAAGCCAAAAAGCCAAAAAGCCCTTCCCAAACCAAGCTTTTTAGCCCAGGCTAAAATAGCCAAAAAAGCCAAAAAGCCAACCCACTTCCCAAACGTAGGCTTTATAACTTGTAAAGTGTAAAAGCTGCCCCAACTCCCTCGGGGTACTTAACCCAATTCCAAGATCTTGCAATGAAATCAACAAATATTAAGCAAACATAACATTAACCTAACTCGGTAGCAACAATTACATTCCACAATATTGCGGCTGAGATAAAAAAACTATTTGAGTTTAGCCAAGTATATGTTGTTCAAGGTCAATCAGCTACCTTGAAGTTGACTAAAAATAACACCAAGTTCAAGCTCCTGAACTGAAAGTATTATTTTCAAAAAAAAATTAGCAATTTAAGATAGTGAGGTTTGCAATTTGAGTTTCAGTTTTGTTATTCAAAAAAACTTCTTAATCTAGCAAGGATGCTTAGGATCATACACCAAGAACTGTGTGTACAAGTCAGATTCAAACTTGGGTCATCAAATGAGCTACAATTATCTTTTAGCAACCTAAGCTTGCCAAGAACTGCTAAGTTCAACTTACAGCCCAGCAATTGGAAGGAGATTATGTTACTACTGAAAATACACTACATCTAAAACAATTCAAGATGTCTAGGGAGGAACCCAAAGAAAATAGAAGCAATGCACAATTTTTTACCATGTACTTAGCATCAACAAAAGGATCATTGACAGCTACAACATCCATGTCATCCCTAGATGTTGCTATCCGTAATACCAATCTTCCAATCCGACCAAAACCTGAAAAAGTAAGCAATTTGAGTTAGTTCAGTTTTGTTAGTCAAAATAACTTCTTAATCTAGAAAGGATGCTATGGATCATACACCAACAACTATTTACAAGGTCAAATATTTTATTGAAGGAAAATAAATTACATACATAGTCAATAAACAACTGAAACAAGGAATACTACGGGATGTTGGTTGAAGAACAACTGAAACATGACATAAACCATCAATAAACATACCATTGATTCCAACCTTTGTCTTCCCACTGCTTTGTGATTCTAAACAAAACAAAACAAATATAAAACTACTATTAAAATAATATGTGCATAGATAATGCACCAACAACATCCAATCATGAGAAGAATTGTATATCAATCAAATATAAATCCTCAAATGCAGAGGTAAAATATGCAACTATTAAGCCATAAGGCGGAGAATATACATCACATTTCAACCATAACCCAAAACCACCAATATTAGAAGTATAACATAAGAAGAAACGAAAAATTATAAACATAAACAGATTTTAACAAATAAATAAGAAATTGTTATCTCATATCAGTTAGATGAGTACAAAAGTCAATTAACTACACAATAGATTTCACAAACCCAAGCCAAATTTGAAGTATATATCTATATATATGGAATCAAAACAACTACCAAATCAAACAAACATGAAAAACAAAGGTGAAAGGGGCAGTTTCAAAGAAGGGGATTTCGGTCTGGGGTTTCATAGAATGGAGATGGAGAAGGGGAGAGAAACAAGTTGCAGAGAGAGAGAGAGAGAGAGAGAGAGAGAGACATACATTGAGGCATGTAGCTTGCTAAAAAAAGTATTTTACTCATCAACTACAAAATGTATAATCACACTATTAATTGATGTAATAAAAATATTTAAAATTTTAGAAACTATAAATATCGTAATCAAGTCACAAAGATTTGTGATATAAAATACAAAATACATACCTGCATCACTAATTGGCATAACAAAATTGTTTAAAATTATAGAAAATCACCAATGTCGTAACTAATTTTCAAAATTTCAGAACATTAACCAAAAATTATGTAACTATGCACTAATTGGTGTAACAAAAACATCTAAAATTTTTAAAAACCACCAATGTCATAACCAACTCACAAAATTTAATAACATCAACTACAAAATGTGTAACTGCACCACTAATTGGCATAATAAAAATAATCAAAATTTTTACAAATTACAAATGTCATAACCAACCCATAAAATTCCATAACACCAATCACAAAATGCGTAACACAACTAGTTAATGTAGCAAAAATATACAAATTTTTTATAAACCACAAATATCGTAATCAAGCAACAAAGTTTCATAACAATTATCATAAAATGACTAACAAATCACTAAAAATCGTAGAATCACCAATCGGGATCTCTAATGGTACAAATAAACACAAAATGTAATGACAATAATTAAATAATTTAATCAACGACTTAAAGCCATTGAACAGAAAATGAGAGTTAGAGAAGATTACCCAATAGAGCGAAAGGAAAGGGAATATGAGAAAGAGAGACTGAACGGACTTATCGCCTATGAAAATAATGTCAAAGATGGTGTTGTTTCCGATAAGGAACATTGGAGATATCTAAAGTGAAATCTAGCTCTAACTCTCAAACCGGGAATCCGATTCGAGTCTCATCTTCTCCCACAAGTCTCTCATACCTAGGCGGTCGTGTGTGCCACGTTCCGTGCTACTCCAACGCTGTTTGGTGATTTTGGGACGTTAACACCTCGAATTCTAAGTTTTTTAAGAAACTAATTTGTCTAAAGTGAAATCTGGCTCTAACTCCCAAACCGAGAATCCGATTCGAGTCCCATCTTCTCCCACAAGTCTCTCGTGCCTAAGCGGTCGTGTGTGCCAAGTTTCGTGATAACTTAAAGATCTTCCTGAATCATAAATGTTTTACATAAAATTTGTCTTCCTGATAACTTAAAGATCTTAGTAAAGTGAGTACACCATATGTAAAATCAGAGAACTACTAGAAATAGAAAGAGAGACAATTAAAGAGAATTGGAGCCTACCAATCAACAGGAGCCTACCAATTAGCGTGAATCTAGCCTATCCTGCCATGGCTATAAAGCTCAACTAATAAAATAAATTGAAATTCATTTGATAGGTGTAAATTGAAGTTTTATTTATTTATTTATTGCTAGGCCAAAAAGGATGAAAAATAGGACTAAAAGTATGTACACATAATGAAAAATTTAAACTATCCCATAACAACTTAAAATTTAAAATTAACTAACTAAGAACAAAATAGGACTTCATCAGTGAATATCACAAGACCTTAGCTAAGGCCAAAGTCAAAAAACCATTCTTAAATAAAAATTTCAGCAAATATACTTTTTTAAGTCATCAATGATAGCCTAGGAAGCACGGATACGAATATGGTGATATGGGGATGTGGATATGACAATATGTCAAAATTTGAAAAAGTAAGATACGGGTACAACGGGGATACATTCATAATTTTTTTTTTTTTATATAATTTTAATAATGTAATATGCATGAAAATAAAACTTAAAGTAAATTAATAAATAAGGAGAGGAATTCCTATTAACCTAAAAGTGCTCAAACATTCATAAAACATCCAAAATTAAAAACAAAAGCAAAAGCAAATGCAAATGCAAATTAAACATCATCCTTACATGCCAACACCAAAAAAAGAATGAGAACAGAGAGAAGAAACGTGAGAGAGTGAAAAAGCGAGAGAGAAGTGAGAGAGACAACAATGATACATCAATTTGACAAATTCTATTACTTTAACTCTCACTATATTCCTGTTATCAAAGAACTAAACAAAATATTATAAGTAATATATAACTTCGAGTATCAGATACTTCAAAATTAAGTATCCGATACTTCAAAATTAATAAAAAATTAATTAAGAAGTATCTGATACTTTTAAGAAGTATCCGATACGTATCCGCGAGTATCCGAGGAGTATCGGTATCCGATAAGTATCCGATACGGATATGTCACCCTTTTTGAAGTATCCGTGCTTCATAGATTTTGAACCACACAGAAATTCATATTTCTGTCAAAGAATTTTCACAAGCAAAACTTGAAAATTAACAGGAGTTCACAAGAATAAATAAATAAATACTAGCAATTAAGGCACACGCGATGCGTGTGTAAATTTTAAAAAAAAATTATGCGATTGAGTCAATAAAAATTGAATTAAGGAACACTACTTTTCAATTCATAAAAAATTTAATACATCCTTGTTCAATAGAAGAAGAGAAAAAAAAAGAGTCAAGTTCAATTCACAAATTTCAGATAAATCAAAGAAATTCAACCAAAATGGGGTAGCACATAGTGCCAGAGCCTCTGCACCTCCTAGGGTTCAACTGACCATTCTAAAATAACATGTGCATTGCTCTTGCAATTGTTTGAGTCTTTCTCTATTTCAATTTCCTTTCTATATATATATATATCTATATCTAAAAGGGAAGGCCAAAATTGAGGTAGATGTCACAATTTTTTTCCTTTCCAAATATCCTCATGTAATTGCCCAGATCAAAACATCCTATAACTAATGAAATCCAAATTCAGATTGAGATCAAAATTTATAACCTGTAATAGCACACCACACACCACTAGTATAGTATAGTATAGCTATAAACAAATTGACATAAAAATGAGTAATAAAAATCGAAATTGGAGGGATTTGAAAATACCTAGCAGCATGAGAATGCTGAATCGTGGAGTAGCCGGCATGGTGACCCAAGTCTTCGACGGAAACGTCGGGGTCAGCGAAATTGGGAAACTTGAAACGCTTCTCGACGATCCTGGGAGCGACAGGCGCAGCAGAGACATCATTGGGATCGACGATGTTGATGGACTCCTTTGGGAAGAAATTGAGCTCTCTGATCAACTTCTCACCCTGAAGCGACGGAAGCCTCGCGTTTGATGGTATGCGAAGAGTCGCTAAACACAAAGAACAGAGAAGAAGGAAAGGAAAAACCAAATATACACAAGCCGAACCCTTCATATCTCTGGAAAAACCAAATATACACAAGCCAGCCGAACCCTTCATATCTCTCTCTCTCTATCTCTCTCTCTCGGGGGGAACCCGATTGGGATTTTGGGGCTTGGTTGTGTTTTGCCATGGAAAAATATAAATAAATATATTTTTATTTATATATATATATTTTACTTACATCACAAATGAAAATTTAAACAATAAAAAGATTTATTGGGTCCTTTTTTTGGCAATGATAATAAAATTTATTTTTTGTTAAAATAAATTTTTTATTTACTTATTTTTTATTTTTTTTAGTTACTAAGATTAAATATTTATTTATTTCATTTTTATTTTAATAAATAATTTTTTTTTATTTGATAGAAGTAGGAGTAATATTTTAATGAAAAATATTTTCTATTAAAATAAAATTAATTTTTTGTGGTCAATGAAAAATATTTTTTTACGACCCTTTTTTTTGTCACTAAAAATCAGGAACTAATTTTTTTTGTGGTAAAGGATAGGAAGCAGCAGTAGTGGTGAAGGTGGTGGATAATAAGAGGTAATAGTGGTGGTGATGGTGGTAATGATGGCGAAGGAGATTAGTGGTGAAGTTGTGGTAGTTGTAGAGGAGATAGAGTAGGTAATGGAGGAGAAGTAATAGTAGTAGTGGTGGTGGTGGTGGTAGTGGAGTGGTGCCGATGGTGATTGTAATTTTTTGTAGGAGAGGATAGGGAGCAGCAGTAGTGGTGAAGGTGGTGGATAATAAGAGGTGATAGTGGTGGTGATGGTGGTAATGATGGCGAAGGAGATTAGTGGTGAAGTTGTGATAGTTGTAGAGGAGATAGAGTAGGTAGTGGAGGAGAGGTAATAGTAGTAGTAGTGATGGTAGTGGAGTGGTGGCGATGGTGGTAGTAATGATAGTCGTAGAGGTGGAGTGGCAATAGTGGTAATAGTAGTGGTAGTGGAATGGCATTTGCAGTAGTGGTGAAGGTGGTAGAGGATATGGGTAGTGAGAGAGAGAGAGTGAGTGAGAGACAGACAGAGAAGAGAGATAGAAAGAGAGAGATAGAGATAGAGTGATGAGCAAGAAAAGAGACAAAAATGGCCACTAAAAGTGCATTTTCTTGTAGTGTCTCGATAAATCGAAAGAGAGCTTGGTAAATAAAGAAGATGGGAGGGGGAGACTAAGCAAGGCGAATACAATGAGGGAGAGAGAGACAGATAGACGGACAAATAGACAGGCAGACAGAGAGAGAAGAGTGATAAGTGAAA